GTGTACTCATAGTCGTGCATGCCGTAGTCGTTTGACCATTGACCTCGCATCCCTACAAAGCCGGGACGGAGCACGCCGGGTTCTCACCGGACCAGGCTCGGGGGGGTATTGATGTTTTGCATGCCGTAGTTGGTAGAACATTGATCACGCGTCCTCGATAGGACGGAGCACTGTTCCCACAAGACGGATCGCCGATGGCCAATCGTTATCGGAATGGGTGCGGGGGGGGGGTTGGAGACAAGAAAGCAGACGAGCTCGAAATGTTTCTTGTTGGAGATTGAAATTTTAATGTATCACAAAGTCGACGCTCTTGGATGATTGGATTTGACTCGAGTGTTTTTCGGCGATGACCACTCTCTCCTTGCAGCTGAAGGACGGACGGATGGTATCGATCGATCTGTGCAGGCATCGCGACAGAAACTCAAACCCACACACACATCGAACTACACCCAAAGTACAAACGGATTCATTTTATCTTTTTTGTCTTGTGATAGGTTCTAAAGTTTGGTTTTGGCGAGAAGACACATGATCGTCAACAAACAAGCAAAACAGTACCCGCAAAAAAAAAAGTTGAAACATGTTCGAAGCCGGCCGACCGCGACCAAAAAATACAAGGCACCTCATATTAAACAAAATACACCGGACGTACCTGGTTTTCCAAAGCCATTTGCTGGTGCGTGCCTGGAATATCTCTGATCTTGTTGCACCGCAGCACGGCCGCGCGCAGCTGCGCGTAGCACGACGTCGGGTCTTGCGCCACGAGGGACTGGAGGAGGGACTCCAACTCCAGCCGCTCCTGAGAGCGTTCGTTATTTTTTTCACCGAGCAACACACACGAAACAGGAAACCATCAACATAACACAAGCGCCAACGGCCAACACGGGTGGTGGGGGTCAGAGAGAGCACCAAGATGTCGACGAGGAGAAGGAGGAGGAGGAGGAGGAGGAGGAGTTTCGACAAGACAAAAAAAAAAAAAATGGGGACGGTACAGATACTGCACACATTTTCAGCATCCAACACCCCATAAACAGACACGAATCGCCTGAAACCGCAGCACCCCAGCAACCTAAACAGCCGGAAACGCCGCTCCTGACTAACGGTACTGACTGCCCCAACAGCAGCAAGAAAACCATCAGCACCAGCGGCACCTTGAAACAGCGGCCCCGCAAACAGCCTGAACAATTAATTCTTCGTCGACGACAGCCTTCTTAGGAAGTAAATAGAGACTGCAACCAACACTGCGGGTGTCTTTGCTGCCAGGCGACAATCCCGCCACGACCAAGCGTGCGTGCTGGCTGGCTGTACCTCCAAGCCTACTGACTGCTGTACCCGCAGCTGCCCTTGCTGCCAGCAGGCGACAACCCACGGCGATCGAGCCTCCACTCTGACTGCACCGGCAGGAACCCTCACAGCTCACAGCCAGGCGACAACAAATCCACCGCAACCAATCAAACCCAGCCTTTTACCTGCAGCGCGAAGCGGAGGTCTCGGCACCTCCTCATCTCCGGAGGCTCCCACGCAAACACCGCCCGGACGTTGGCCGTCGCCTGCTCCGCCCTCGCGATGGCGGCGTCTAATCCCGCCGCATCTCCCGCGCTGAAAGTAAAAAGCGGGGCAATATATATGTATATATATATAGAGAGAGATTGATCGCTGTCAAAGGTGGGCGATCATTCACGTACGTACGTTTTCAGTTCTCGGGCTGCGAGGCGCAGGAATCGAAGGATGCAGGATAGGACAGCAGGTATTTAATAATAGTAGCTCGGTTCTATGATGGGATGTGTTGCGCCGTCGATGCCGATACCGGTTCTTCCTTTTGCAGAAACGCCAACGAACGCTTGTATCTTTGCGGGTACAGCAGGTGCGGCTTTTCCAAGCCCGCGCTATCTACATGGCTTTCCCCGAGATGCAAAATCCGCCGCTGGAGGAAAGGTTGCGCATGAAAAACCACACACCAAAACACTGTTGCGAATGACCTTCGTCGTGTGTGACCCAGGCCGTTGCGTAAATAGCTGCACACGGAAAACGTAGGCTGGCGCAAGAATACATGCGACGAATACACGCACACACAGACAGAAGACAGAATCTCTGGCTCACCAGGTGTGTAGCGCCTGCGCGCAGATGGCCCTCGCGTTCGCCATGCACCGTCGGAAGGTGCGGCCGATTCGGATCCGAGCCATCCTGCATAGTGCGCAAAAAACAAAGGCACAAAAGGGAGCGCGAAATTTCATCGAAACAGCAGTACAAAATACGGTGAAACAGTAAAAAAGGTTTCAATTTTTCACGGTCACGACGTCTGGTTCGACTCGGGGACCCGCGCCATCCTATAGTGCGAAAAAATAAACAGAGAACGGAGGTTGATCCAGTCAGCAAAACCTCGCGGGAAAAGCTCCGCACACAATCAATTGCACCCACAATGAAGCAGGTCTACCCAACCTCAAAAGCCTGAAGTGCGGGGAGCGCAGTTCCATCAACGACACGAGGCGCGAGTAGTTCGTTTCTTCGCACAACGCTGGAGGAGGAGGGGGAAGGAGGAGGAGGGGCAGGTGTTGGGCGCTCCCCTGCCCCCTCCAACCGGCGCGATAGTAGATCATCATAGATCATCGTAGATCATGGTAGATCATGGTAGCATGGTAGGTCATGGTAGATCATTGCAGATTATCGTACATCATGGTAGGTCATCGCCGACGGTTCTGCTCTGCAGGGAGTGGGGGACGACACTTGGTGCCACCAGCCCCCACCCTCACTTTTCACCTCTGCGCCACGGGCAGTACTCTCTCGAGACACAGGTTTCTGAGCAGTTCGAGTACGCGGTGCTCCTCCGCCCGGTAGAGGACCATCGTGTTGCCCAGCTGCACCCGAGAGAAATCCTGTGAGAATAGAGGGAGAAAGCGTTTGGGGAGACGGGGGAGACGGGGGAGACGCACAAAGACGGAGACATGGAGTGACAGGTAGACAGAGACGGAGAGAAGGAGACATAAGACACCGAGAGACCGAGAAAATTAGAGAAAAATAGAGAAAAAGGAGCGGCAGATAGACAAGGAGAGAACGACAGACAGACAGGCACAGGGGAGAGAGAGGCACATAATTACACATCCAAAAAAAGGAGAACGTGAGGGGCAGAAGGACAAAAACAGGAGAGGACCCCAACAGGCCTGTCCTTTTCAAAAAAGTGAGAAGGGCACCAGCAAGTCACCCAGGTACCTCACCGTGCTGGCAGAAACACAGCAGTGTTCAACATGAAGCTCGAGCAGAACACAGATGAACCTATACAATAGCCCTCAGCAAAGCGCACCTGTAAACATACGCCCCCCGTCGGACGAGCCGCTAAAAAACGCACACGAAAACACGTTCACCGGACGCTTGGCTACAAAAAGCTTGTTCGTGTTCTCTGCCCCGCTTTTGTAAGACCGGCAAATTTTCATTGGTAAGCCGGAACGCGTGGTCCGTACTGAGAAAAGCAACACACACCGCGCGCAGCCTTGATTTCGTAGCATGGGTGCACGAGAGAAAGCATTGGCCATCCAGCAAAGTAACAAACTAAGACGTTGCTTTGGCCAACACCAGGAAGGCCTGGTTTGAGAAAACAAGAACACTTCAACACAAAAACAAGAACAAAAAAGGACGAGGTTGACGCTGGGTATTGTTGCCAAGTAGAGCAGTTCCAGGGTGATCCTTGCACCAAAAGCATGGTACCAAAGGCGCAACAACAACAACGACAACGACACCACCACCACCAACAACAACAACATCCACACCACCACCAACAACAACAGCAACAGCAACAGCAACAGCAACAGCAACAGCAACAGCAACAGCAACAGCAACAACAACAACAACAACAACAACAACAACAACAACAACAACAACAACAACAACAACAACAACAGCATCAACACCACCAACAACAACAACACCACCACCACCACCAACACCACCACCACCAACAACAACAACAACACCACCACCAACACCAACAACAACAACA